GACGAGAAGCTGGATATGAGTCAACAGTGTGCCCTTGTTGCCAAGAAGGCTAACAGCATTTTGGGCTGTATACATAGAAGCATTGCCAACAGATCGAGGGATGTGATCATTCCCCTCTATTCAGCATTGGTTAGGCCTCATCTGGAGTACTGTGTCCAGTTTTGGGCCCCACACTACAAGAAGGATGTGGAAAAATTGGAAAACGTCCAGCGGAGAGCAACAAAAATGATTAGGGGACTGGAACACATGACTTATGAGGAGAGGCTGAGGGAACTGGGATTATTTAGTCTGCAGAAGAGAAGAATGAGGGAGGATTTGATAGCTGCTTTCAACTACCTGAAAGGGGGTTCCAAAGAGGATGGAGCTAGACTGTTCTCAGTGGTAGCAGATGACAGAACAAGGAGTAATGGTCTCAAGTGCAGTGGGGGTGGTTTAGGTTGGATATTAGGAAAAACTTTTTCACTAGAAGGGTGGTGAAACACCAGAATGCTATACCTAGGGGAGGTGGTGGAATCTCCTTCCTCAGAAGTTTTTAAGGTCAGGCTTGACAAAGCCCTGGCTGAGATGATTTAGTTGGGGATTGGTGCTGCTTTGAGCAGAGGGTTGGACTAGATGACCTCCTGAGGTCCCTTCCAACCCTGATATTCTATGATTCTATGATCAGGTACCATCAGTCCTTTGGGTAGTCGTGTCTAGGTGAAGGACAGACCTGAATTGCCTTGAATCTCTCTCTGAACTCACCTCCCTGTGTGGGCATAAAGCAATGTCTGGAGCCTCCAATTCCTCTAAAGAGAAGGCCGGTTCCTGCTCAACCAACAGAGCCATTGGTACCAGTGGGTGAAAGCTTCTGCCTAAGGACTTAGGAGGGGAACATTCCCATCTCCTCGAGGTAGTTTTCTCCTCTGGTATCACAATGTTTCTCAGGAGGGTGAGACCCGAAAGAAAAGGAAACCAAGGATAAGGCAGGGTACAGATATCCTCCAGTGAGGGGCAAGTTTCAGTTAGTCCCAGAGCCCAAGGCATGCCAGTAGTTGGGACTCACAGCTCTGGCACATCCATGGTCAGTGTAGGAGGCAGGTCTTGCAGAGAGAGAGATCAATACCACCAAAGAGTCTACTTTGAAGCTCTTAAATAGTGTCAGGAGGTGCCAATATTTAGGCTTATGAATCAGAACCTACATTGGTATCAGCAGACCCTTTTTCCTTCATACTTTGACCTCATGATCGGAGGATTTAACCGAGCCTAAGTATTTAGGGACCACGTATGAGGACTCACTCGACTTGGATGGAGTCAGGGAGGGATCCCTTCTCTTGAAAGAAGATATGTTCTTATACTTATGAGAGTGCCCCTTACGGTCATGAGAAGCCCTGCAGAATGATGCCATGGGCTTAGCGGGTCTGGTTTCTGCTCCTGTGCTCATTCTTGAAGGGGCGCTGCACTTGAAGAATTAGGAGTTATTTGTCAAAACATGAGTGAAGATGCAGATCTCTCGCTCTGACAGGCACCCTGCTCCAGCCACCCCCACCTCTGGTGCTTGTTGTAGAGAAAAGGGTTTTTCAAGGGCTGCTCCTTTGCAATGGAGGGTGTTCTGCCTCACACAATCAACCAGATTAAGGGGAGAGCTCTTGCATGGGTCCAGCTCGCATCACTGTCTAATCCAGGGATGGACCTCACAAGCAGGGAGCTCCAGCTGCTGGTACTACTGCCACTTTGGTGTCTCATGGGGAGAATCTGGGGTCAGACCTATACAGACCACATCTGGTGGTGATGAGGTAAAATAAAACTGAAAAAGCAGAGAAAAATATTTTTCCATTGAATTTTCAATTACAGTATCTTAGGTGTTACTTGTAACTAGGTAAAAAAATGTAGGCAGAAATGTTTTTCAAGTTGACCATGTCCCTTTATAAACTAATGTATATCTCATTCTTCACCAACTTGATGGTGGCATAATTTCTTACCCAGAGAAGGCAGACCCTAATGGCTGTATCATTTCCTCGCTACTAAGCATGCTCTCCTGCTCTTCCTGAAGTTAGTGGCAAAACCCCTATGGGCTTCACTAGTTATATAACCGCAGCCCAGGACTGGGAAGAGGCAAAGATTCTGAATCTGCCTGCTCTATTACTAGCTTACAGGTATATATAAAGAACTGATGATCCCAACTCCAGACATTCCTTTACATTTATGAACATAAAATATTCATCTAGAAAAGATTTTGAAATAAAATGCAGGTAAAAAATGAGAAACAATGAAGAGGTCGGGGAATGGCAGAAAAGGATCTTCTGGCTACTGAAGTAAACTTCTGACAAATGAGATGTGGAGTCAGCATAGCCACTGTATAGTTATTGGGAAAATTAGCTTTGCCATATACTGATATTTGGATGAAATAAAATCAATAAGCAGTGAAAGACCCAGAGCTACAGACATAATTACCACAGATGGTAAGCTGTTATATTTGGCACCATCTTCCTCTCTGTTAGATGTAGCTGTACAAGTTTTTTGTTGCAGGCTTCCAACAGTGCATCAGAAGCCTGATCATGTTTCTATTAAATCAATGGCAAAATCCTCACTGACGTTAGTGGTGCAAGATCAGGCTTTTAATTAAACAGTAGCGGTCTATCCTTCAAATAACCAAACAAGACTCCTAATAGAGCTACCAATTCCAGCCTGCAGAAGCTGACAAAAAGTTGAAGTATACCTGGCTTGCTCAGTGAGAAATATTTCTTAAGCAGTTTTGGTTGTCAAGGAAAGTTTCCTGAGGCAAATTTTACACTATGCCCACAAGAAGCTGGATCTTAAGAAAAATACAAAATACAGCAAAAAGAATGGTAAAGAAAGAGGAAAAAAGAGAAAGGAAGGAAAGCAAGGCCAGTCCAAGAGTTACAGTGGCAAGTACACTATGCTTAGACATGCCAGGGATTCAAATTCAGGTTCTCAGCCTAATCTTTCACTCCTGAGCCAACAACTCACAAGGATGAGTGTGAGAAGTTCATGGTGTTGTTCCTAAACAACATCTTGAGTACAGCTGATACGTGGGTCACCAGTGACCGACTCCAGATGAAGCCACATCCAGCCCTCTTCTGCCAGAGAAAGTATAGCTGCAGTTTTAAATTTTGCAATTTGCTTATCTACAGGCATGTATGTGGCTTTTATTAATCAGAATCTTGGAACACCTCACAAATATGAATGATTTTCACATCCTCATCACCATTGTGAAGAAGGGAAGAATTACCCAGATTCAGAGATGAAAAACAGAGGTATGGAAATGTGATGTGTTTAAAGTCACACAGGATATCTGTGGTAGAACTGAGAATTGAACCCAGATCTCGACTCCTTTTCTTTACCTTTGGAAAAGAGTGGATATCAGATAATTGTTATCCTCAGAGCAGAGAACAATCCCTCTTCTTCACCACCCCAGCAAAACAAAATAGAAAAGGAAAGTGTCTAAATTTTATAGGTTGAAATGAGAAAAACATTAACTAGAAGTAATTTTATTGTCTTTAATATAATGCAGGAAAAAATGCATGTAGCAATAAATTCACTATGAATTTTTGTCTTAATTTCACTTACACTCTTATCAATCTGCATGAGATGCTCCAAGGACATTTTCTGCAGCTTATGGAGATTGAGAGCTAACCAAATGTAATATCCAGACTGATGGTCATGGTTGACAGGCAGGAAAAATGGAGAGCAATATGACCTAGAATTGACTTCCAAGTTGTTCTAATTTAACATTTGAAGAGGAGTAATCTAAAACTTTAAAAGGAGGCCTTAGAGTTTGCTGAATTCTCAGCGTGTTCTGATAACAGAACTAGAACCATCTGCATGTCTGTTTGGCTCTGCACTTACTCATAGAAAGGTTCTAGCTTATATAAGTTAAAATAAATAGAGCCACTGTACAATTGTAGGCTCATACAACAGAGACCGTTTTCACAATTGTCCATATCTAATGGATTCAGGTTATGAGCCCCAGAGGTGATCACACTGCTTCATGAGTAAATTATACAGTTAGAGGAGTAAGAATAAGTCCTTTATAAACTCTCCCAGATTCTATAACTCAGACCACAATCTGCCAGGGAAAGCACACATTTCTAAAAAGAGATTTTCAACCCTTGCAGCAACTGATAAAATCATTCCTAAGAGAAAAGGAGTACTGGTGGCACCTTAGAGACTAACCAATTTATTTGAGCATGAGCTTTCGTGAGCTACAGCTCACTTCAGATGAAGTGAGCTGTAGCTCACGAAAGCTCATGCTCAAATAAATTGGTTAGTCTCTAAGGTGCCACCAGTACTCCTTTTCTTTTTGCGAATACAGACTAACACGGCTGTTCCTCTGAAACCATTCCTAAGAGAGAATGGGACCCTGTTGTCCTTAGGATCTGAGGTAGAACATCTAGTGTAATCAGCAACAATAAATCAGCTTTCAAACTCTCCAGTGAATCCTGTTTGAATGGTGTCCACCAAAAGACAAGGTTCAAAAATAATGATCTTTTAGCAGAAGAAACATTGTCCATAAAAATAAAAACAGCAAAACATTTGTCAATAGGCTATTATGCACTTTGGACAAAATCCTAAGCACAGTACCCAAAGCAGGAGGATCAGGCACTTGGATGATGTACAAGAGAGGAATTCTCCCCACCAAGCTGGATCTCTGCAGAGGCTACTTCACCCAAATAGCTGCAGTAGTGCTCTCCAGCATCGATACATGCCACCATCACCAGTGGGAGCAAGCACCAGAGGATCTGCAAAATGATGGATCCCCTGTACCTTCCTCCACCTTCTCTCTATTGAGCAGAAAGTCCTTCTCTCACACAACTTCAATGTGATGTGTCTCAATATAACACATGCACCATACATTCTGCCTCTTCATGCACTACCACAAAATCAAAAACATTTTTCTATAACAATGTATTTGTCCTTGTAGAACATTCAAAACAATTCTTAGAAATTGCACAATAAACTGCTATGTGATACTAATGATGTAAAAACACATAAGTGATTACCTCTCCTATGAAGACAACCATAACACAATCCAGTTTCTCTTCTGGAGACAATTTATCAATAAGGGAGTGAAGAGTTTCTGTAAGGTAAGACTTTACTTTTCTCTTCACGGTGGGAATTCCCATTACAATTGAAACTGAAAATAAATAAAAAAACACAATCAATATAGAAGTCTTTATATAACAAAGCATTAATTCAGAAATACACTCAAAATATTAAGAGATAACACAGTAACCAAAAACAATTTCAAAGCATACCAGTATCTTTGGGAATACAATTAATAGTACCAACATCAACTCTTAGACTAAACACACCTGCCCAAAAAAAAAAAAAAAAAAAGCAAATGCTGAAAGTGTCACAGTATTAATATAGATGTATTGTTAAGATGCATACAACAGTGGTACCAGTTAGTTAAGGTTGCACTTAGACTTACACAAAGTACACTAAAATCCCTTTCCAGAGTTTAGTCTCCAAATTTAGTACAACAGTTTTTCACAAACTAATCTATGTTTTTTTTTATTAAAATACTTAATAACGTTTGCAGAAGAAACTTATTAAAACCTCTTCTTCCCCATAAACTACCCCAAATACCATCACTGACTCCCACCACATTGATGCTATCCCTATCTTCCACATGGCTGTTCAATCTTCGTGCTCCTTAGCCCACCCCCAATACAAAGGGCTGCTCTCCCACTGGGAGCAGAATGGGTGGGGGGAATAAAAGGGATGAGTAGGACTGGATGCAGTAATGAGGAAGTGTCGTGGCCCTGTGCTGAAGCAGCTGTACTTAGAGGGATCTCACCTTTAATACACAAAATCAGGTTAGAGCTGAAAATGCTGATTGGCATTCTTAACTCATCCTCTTGTGCTTACAAACTACAGATCTCCTAGAAAGGTATGTGATGTTAAATTTGCATTGAGTAGAAATGCCTATCCAGCAAGCACAACAGAAAAAGAGAAGGATGGTGAAGCAAATCTTAATTTCTCTACTGTTTTTAGGACACTTGATTTTAAATAATTTTTTTTGCAATTTAAATTTTGAAATAATATATGGTTGGCTTAAACCGGTGGAAGAAAGTCTGAATCCTTCACTTTGCTAGTTAAATACATATAAATAGGCCCTACCAAATTCACAATCCATTTTTAATTTCAGAATCATAGCATTTAAAAATCTTGAATTTCAGTTTCAGAAATTTAAATCTTAAATTTCATGGTGTTGTAAGAAAGCATGAATATGTATTTTAAAACAGAAAAATACAAACCTATAAAGCCCTTAAGTCAGCATTTCTCAAACTGGGGGTCCTGACCCAAGAGGGGGTCACAAGGCTATATGGGGGGGGGTCGCAGTATTGCCACCTGTGCTTCTGCACTGCCTTCGGTGTTGGACGGCCAGAGAGCAGATGTCTGGACGCCAGCTCTGAAGGCAGTGCCACCAGCAGCAGCAGCACAGAAGTAAGGGTGGCAATACACCCTACCATTCCATCCTTACTTCTGCACTGCTGTTGATGGCAGTGCTGCCTTCAGCACCCAGCCAGCAGGTGCCGCTCTCCAGCTGCCCAGCTCTGAAGGCAGTGCAGAAGTAAGGGTGGCAATACCGCAACCCCTTACAATAGCCTTGCAGTCCTTTTTGGGTCAGGACCCCCAGTTTGAAAAACACCGTGTACTTTTGTATACTTTTCCCCCCAATATAGTATAGGGAAAAAGTACACAAAAGGCCAGATTTCATGGGGGAGATCAGATTTCACAGTCTGACACATTTTTCACGGACATGCATTTAGAAGGGCCCTCCATGTAAAATACGTATTTCCATTTTGTTAGTGGGTGTGACTGTGAATATAAGACTTGATTCTGCACATTGATATATGGGCATGCATTTTGTTATAACAAGAACAGAATCAAACGCACAGAACACAAAAAAGACACTAACTGTAATACTACTATCAAAACAAGGAAGCTTCCATTATGAGAGAATCAGCAGCTCCAGATCAAAAGGCAGACAGACACATATGGATTAATATGTGGGGTCTTTATGCCTTATAGACATGAAGACATGCTTCCAAGTATATGACCCTGGTTGGGCTTTATCTGCTTTAAGGACTGCAGCTCCAAGAATGGAATTATGTGAAGATCTACTGATGAAGGAGCGGAACTTTTGAGGATTAATCACTTGTTTTGTATTTACGAAGCATAAGGAATTAGTAAGAGTAAAAATATGTAGTCTAATAGTAGACGTGTTTTTCTCCTCCAACCAAGGTCCAACTTTTATGGAAAGGACCAAGCCAATTATCATTAGGTACCCATAATTCCAGGTCTTCTGAGTTATACACTAGAATTCATTGGTGGGAACACCAGACACGAACTTTGAAACTGTTAAATCCATGCTCGATGTACCTATATATCTGAGTAGCCAAAGGGATGTGTCAGAAAAGTAGTTTCAGAGCCTGTATTATTTCCATGCCTTGTTAATTTTCATAAATCTCATTAAAAGATAAAACAATTTGATCCAGATTAAGTGCTTTTTATTCTATACCTTAGCACCGGGGGTAGTGTGTGATCTGGGACTATGCAGTAAAGAGCAAAACTGAAGACAACTCCTTTTATCTTGGATTCAGTGCGAGTTCTAAGAGATATACAAATAAAATTGCAGCTACCAAACAATACTTTAAATTATGATATTACCAAAACAAAATTAGGAAGTCCTTCCGACATATTATTTTTATATAATATATATTATTTTACATATATAATATACCTTTATAATATATATAAATATTATTTAAATAATGCCAGCATACCGCCTGTTCGTCCCAGGCCAATCTGCACAGAAGGCTGAAGGCTTCCTTCATTCTTCAACAAATGAGGCAAATGGTAATAGATATTCGGCACTTGAAGAGATTTTCTGCTTATTAGCTCTTTTAACAATTTCAGTGTTTCATCTGCAAACACATATAAAACCAATAATGAAGAAAATTAATCAGAGAGGCTACATGTTTATGCAGGAATAAATCATATGCAATTCCAAAACTGATCATTCATTCATGCTTTGTTTGAGTTAGGAACCATTTTTAAGATTTGCGTACCAAGAAGTAAAACCTTTTCTGTTTTTAATTTTTAAAAGAGTTATGAACAAGATTGATTTTTAACAGTTTTCTGGAAACAGGAACATCATACATCATCGCGTGTGAGTTACAGTGTGCTATGACCAATGACAAAGAGGAAATAACTCACCTTGAGTAGAATCCTCCATAAATTTTTACCTTGGATGTGTCTTCATATTATACAGTATATTGGGCTTATTATACCCCAAACATTCAAAATAATCTGTATCTATTCTCACAGGAGCTCAAGCAACAATTTAATCCTCAAATAAATAACTTTAAAATTGCATGCACATTTTTACATACATTGCACCCAAATATATTGCACAGAAATAGGACTTCACAGAGTATACGGTGCAACGGTCCAGGGATTAAATTTGGATATACCTTTTGTAATAAAAACAGATACACCTAACAAAAGTAGGCATATAAATTATTTACTACAGTTAAATACGAAAGTTAAACCAGTTCTAAAGATGTTTCCACAATGGAACATAAATATCAGCTTTGAAATTCCCTTTCCAGTATGTGTCAACTCTCTTAAATCAAATATGAAAACCGTAGCCAATTTTTTTAATTAGAAAAAAAGCCATAGCACCTCATATTGACCTTTGAGATCTCATGAATCTCATAAAGATCAGGTCAGAAACTGGTTGGGAGACTTCCAAAGAAAACCTACCTACCTTAGAAGTGATGGTGACTCAGTAGATATCACTCTTTCCTGGGATGTTGAAATGAACCAGTGTTTCCTATACAACTGGAGATACCTTTTTTTGGATTAAATCTAAAACTAAACTCCTGACTACTTATAGTCTTGAAAAGGCCCTTGTACAAAGTGCAATGAGTAGAGATGTTAGCTTCGATGTGTGGGCTAAATTCCAATTTGAGTGATTACACTCTTCCTGCCAAAATTTTCTCTGCAGTTTCAATTGCAGAAGTAGACGTGGAAGTTCACCCAAATGTATTCAAGGGTGGATGAATGATAAGATCTGTAAAGCAATTTGGATTCCTTCTAGATCTAAGGTACTAACCAAATACAATATAGATTTGAGAATTTATATTTTATTTAAAATATACCTATCATAGTAATCTCTGGCACATTTACAATTCATTAAATTTAACACAAGAATTCGTGAACCAGTGTCAACCCAAAATAAGAGGCAACAATCCCAAAATTACAATGTTAAAAATAATTATACCTAGCCCATACATCCCCCAGGAAAAAGTCACAGTGAAGAGTTAGTCTTTATGTTGTGTCCAAAAAGTCTCGACTTGGGTTCTGTCAAACCAATGCGGTAAGTGAATTACAGAGTAGAAGGTTCTCCAGCAAAAACACACTGCCACCATTCGTTCAAATCTGAGACTGTTAGTGAGAATACCACAACTGACTTAAGAAGGCAGGACAGCACACGGAAGGGGAGACTATCTTTCAGGCAACTATGCTGAAGCCATATTGAGTTTTAAAGATATATATTACTATTTTTAATTGCACCAAGAAGTGAACAGAAAAAGACAGTGCAGTCTTTGGAGAACTGGTATAATATGATTTCTTATGGCCAAACATTCTGTACAAAAAGGCCAATACATTTTACATAAAGACAAACACGAACTAAAACTCCAGATCCAACCATCTCTGAACTTTGTGAAAGTTCAGATTAAGATCCAGGTCCAAACTTTATGGCTCAGGGACATCTCTAATTCTGCATGATCTCTAGCTTCTAAATGTTCTACAGTCTTAAACCACTATGGAGAACACATTGCAATAGTCCAATGTTGATATCACAATGACATGGCTAACAATGGCAACGTACACATCAGAAAGAAAATCACAAGATATGTTACATACAGATTTTAAAAAGTAATGTCCCCAGTGCTCCTAGAATCCCAGGTGGCTACCTAAAATCCAGAAGAGTGAGGCATTAACATATTGAGGGACAACTTTTTAATCAGTACCTGGCTGGAGGACCTAAAACATGAGCTGTAGAATACGGAGTAGATTCATCTTTCTATAAAAGGCACTACTTGTCCAAGTTTTTCAACGTTCTATAGTAGAACTAGGAAGTGACAGCAGACCTCAAATAATATTTGTTTTAGGTGTACTTCTCTCATATGAAAAAAATCAGGGAGTATTGGTTTAATTAGCTAGACTGAGGTCCTTTGGAACAAAATTATTTTTGGCAATTTTGACTTTTTAGAGACAAGTTAAATCTCAACGTCAGGGGAATATATTTCAAAACAGAAACAGTGACAAAACTGTTACAATATGTTTGTGCTAGGCTACAAGCTAATAATCTTTCCATATACAGCTCTTGTTAATTTTGAGGATTTGCTTCATAATTTGATGAAAAGGAATAAGAGGTAATTATTTTTAAATATTTAATGATTAGTTTTGAAGAAAAGGTTAACAAATGTTTGCTGCTATTTACTATGCTTTGCATTGCTTAAAAGGTAAACTTTAGAAACACAGAGTCCCCAAATCAGATCCTGGCAGGTAAAGAGGATTTCATTCTACTTTTAACCTTTGCATGGATTGATTACTAGTTCCCTTTTTTTTTTTTTTTTTAAAAAAAGTTGCTCATCAGTTTTAGCTTAAAATGTGTAAAAATATTATACAAATTGCTGCCCGACCACCTGTACTGAATAGCACCCAGAAACCCCAAACCTATTTTACTAGGCACTTGAACAAGTATATAGTCCTTGAAGAGATTACAATCTAATTTAAAATATGATACAATGAGTGAATATAACAAACAGAGGGAAAGGAGGATGAAGGAAGGGGGAGAGGTACCAGAGATAAGAACATGTTTATATAAACTAGCTATATGCACTGTTGGATGGTTTTCAAGCATTTGTTTTTTTAGGATATTTTCTTTTAATAATTATATACAATAGACATCAGTAATCTAAAGACGTAAAACGTTAAGCATAAAAAAAACCCTGTATCATGGCTTGTACCTGAAAAATTGTTTAATGCATCCTTACTTCCATTTGTTTCTGCTACTGCACGTCTGAATTGCTCCAAGATGGCATTTAGCTCAGAGGAACGCTGCAGGGTCCTATGCTCAGCAATGCGAAGACGTTCCTTTAAAGCATGAAATTCCCGTTGATAAGCAATCAGCTTTTCTAGAAGGAAAAATGTCTGGTTACTTACTTTTGAAAACATTTCATCTGCTCTTCACTCCCCAAATAACGTCCTTATATAAAACAATTTTGTTGCAAACTTTGGGCCTAGAGTCTCTGAACAAGTAGAAAAATAATTTCTTTTGTGGAAGGCTGAATGACAACCTTTATCAAATTATTAAGTTAAATGCAATATACTCCTGTTAACTCCAATGTTAGAAGAATTTAGATCAGTGGTTCTCAACCAGGGATATGCAGAGGTCTTCCAGGGGGTATATCAACTCATCTAGATGATATTTGCCTAGTTTTATAACAGGCTATATAAAAGCACAAGAAAAGTCAGTACACTAACATTTCATATAATTACTTGTTTATATTACTCTAAATACCATACACTGAAATGTGAGTACAATATTTATGTTCCAAATGATTTATAATTGTATGGTAAAATGAGACAGTAAGCAATTTTTCACTAATATTGTGCTGTGACACTTTTGTATTTTTATGTATGGTATTGTAAACAAGTAATTTTTTTTAAGTGAGGTGAAAATTGGGGTACATAAGACAAAAATCAGATTAGGGTTGCCCCGTCTCTGGTTTTTTACCAGAATGCCCAGTCGAAAAGGGACCCTGGCGGCTCTGATCAGCACTGCTGTTAAAAGTCAAGTTGGCAGCGCAGGCAGTCTCCCTACGCACCTCCATGCAGCTCCTGGGAAGCTGCCGGCATCTCCCTCCAGCTCCTAGGCATAGGGGCGGCCATGGGGGCTCTGCGTGCTGCCTCTGCCCCCAGCGCCAATTCAGCAGCTCCCATTAGCCAGGAACCATGGGCAATGGGAGCTGAGGTGGTGGTGCCTGCAGGCGCAGGCAGCGCTCAGAGCCATGTGGTGGCGCATCCGCCTAGGAGGCGGAGGGAGATCCTGGGAGCCACCTCAGGTAAGCGTCGCCCAGAGCCTGCACCCCTCATCCCCTCCTGTGTCCCACCCCATGCCCTCTCCTGCACCCCAAACCCCTCATCCCTGGACCCACCCAAGCCCACACCCCCAGACCAGAGCTTGCACTCCCTCTCGCATCCCAACCTGAGCCAGCCTAGAGCCTTCTCCTGCACGACAAACCCCAGCCCCACCCCAGAACCCACATCCACAGCCCTCACCCCCCTGCACCCCAATCCCTGTCCCGTACCCTGAACCCCTCATTTATGGCCCCACCCCAGAGTCTGCACCCCTAGCCCAGAGCCCATACCCCCTCCAACACCGTAACCTGGAGCCTTCTCTTGCACCCCAAACCTCTCATCCCTGGCCCCACCCCTGAGCCACACCCCCACCCAGAGCCCTCAGTCCCTCCTGCACCCCAACTCCCTGCCCTAGCCCAGAGCTCTCTCCTGCACCCCAAATCCCTCATCTCTGGGCCCACCCCAGAGCCCTCACCCACCCACCCTCACACCCCAACCCCCTGCCCAGTGAAAATGAGAGAGTGAGCAAGGGTGGGGGAGAGCGAGTGACAGATGGAGACAGGTAGAGATGGAGGGAGCGGGCGGGGGCATGGCCTCAGAGAAGGGGAATGGTGTGGCATGGCAAGGGTGTTCAGTTTTCTGCAGATAGAAAGTTGGCAACCTTAAGTCAGACACCTGAAAAAGGTACAGTAATCCAGAAAAGTTGAGAATCACTGATTTAGATGATGTGGTAATTATGCAGATACTTCTTGTAGCAGAGTCTAAAACACCAAACTTTTTGGACCAAAGTACCAGATAAATTTTAATTTCAGAGTGAAACAACACAGAACCTATTTATTATTTGAATCATTCAGAGGAGTTAGTGTAGCTGTAGCAGTATCAGACTTGGCAGCACTACTGACTCATAAAAAAAGACTGAAGCAGACATGCGTTTGGAAATTGTTTGCAAAAGATATGTATCTTTTGAATAATTTGTATGAATGAATAAATGGAGTTTGGCGATATAGTTCAACTTTAATTATTTAATCCTTTAGTACTAAGTTACCAGCAATCTCCCGTGACTAAAACTGTGGATTCCTACTCGTATTAGTAAGCAAATGTGTTTGTAGGTAAATACACATACATTTTTTTCTTTTTTTGAGGTGTAGAAAGAAAGGAGGGCTGCAGTAAACACAAGAACCTCTCAGTGATATCCTGAGTCCTAGGACACAACCACCCAAAGAAGCTAACCATCTTCCCTTCATTGTTGCCCTCTTCACTTTGCCAGCCTGTCAGCTCCCTGTTTTGAAGTCCCCACCTCTGATCTCAATCCATTTAATCCCTTTTATCTAGGGAATGGATGTTCCAACTATCCATCTGTAATCCAGTGGTGATCTCCCATGCCAACTTCTGAAAAGTGCAAAGTTAACTCTACTTAACTAAATTAAAGTTTTGCAGGTAAATTATCTTTTTGGTTGTTAAAAGACTAATACAGTACAATTCCTTCTCTATCCATGCACTGCTCATCTTTCCCTTGTTCTCCATTAAAGATTGATTATATTGTATTTCTTTCTTTGTCCTTTTTTACCCCTATTTTACATTTATTTTCTCTCTGTAGTTAGGATGTATTATCCATTTAATATTTTGAAAACATAATTAGTTAGCTAAGATACCCTGTGTTTAGAAAAGAAGGAACAAAACACAGTTCACAACCAACCTCTTGATATGTGTCAGTTTGTTTTGCACAGAATAATACACACAATGGTCTATTGCTTCCTACCAAAAAACCCAGGCAGCTAATTGAAATAAGAATTATTGCTTAGTTAGCAGTACCAAAATAGCTCATAGGGATCTCTTGACACAAGTAGGAAAACTTCAGACTTTTAATTATTTTAGCAAAAAAGAAAACATTAAAATTTAAATAAGTTAGAAAAACAGGTCACTAAAGGATCAATAACTTAAATGAAAATATACTTAAGTTTCCACCATATTACCGAATGCTTCTTTCCTTCTATTTATGTTGAATCTTACAATAATTTAATAAAACAGAGGAAGGAATTGAGATACCAAATTACTAGCCTCCATAAAGCTGATGGAAGGACCCCAAAAGAGATCTATCTGATGAATAAAACACCATTTGTTCCCGTACAGAGAAGCAGCAAATGAGTAGAAAATTTAATGGAAGATTTGGTCTTCAAAAATTCTGCAGGTTTTACAGCTTGATCCTTGATATTTTTATTTAAGAAGCATTTACCATTTTACTGTAAAAATGTGAAGCAGACGTTTTGCCATACACTTTGCTTTGGAAGCCAAAAGGATCAAATAAAAATATTAATACTCAATAACTGCTAATAGAGATTATTTTCCTGTTGAGAAATTACATAAGAACTGAATGTTTTAATTCTTTGTCAGTTATTTTCATTCAGCCAGCATAACTCCAGTAATTAAAAGTAAATGTTTAATCTGTCTTAATGTTCTGAATTTCCTGGAAAATTAACACTGTCTGCTAGTTTAGCAGTTAGGTTTCTCCATCTTTTTTTTTCTTGATCCAAGCACTGCTCATAAACAGGCAGAGTCAAAAACCCAGACATGCTCTTTTGGGAGTTTGATTCTTGTGTGGTGCTCATGAATGTAATGGGAGTTCCACTGGCACCTCAAGAGAAGAACACACTCCACAAGCTACAAATACTGTCCATTTTCCTTGCAGCCTCAGCCCCACACACATTCTATATTATATAGTTAGGGTTTTTTTAATTCCAGTTCCGGCCAGCTAGCAAGCTATTTTTTACAATAGATGCCAATTTTCTAAACTCAGCAAGAAGAATCTGGAAATATTAGTGAGTTTTTCACTGGTTTTTAAGTTATATTTTCTTTATTACTAGTCCAGTGTGTTAAAATGAACCCTTGATGATTTTAACAGTTAAATGGTCTTTTTTCCCTTAGCAAGAAAAAGGGGTAGCAAAAAAATAAGAAAAACAGGAGAGAAAAACCATAATGTAGTTTCATTTTATATAGATGTCTGCCAGAATATCTGAATACTGTAGCAGAAGCAGCCTAAATTGTAGGTTAATAGTTTGCATGACCAGAAAGCTCTGAATATCAACATTTCAAATGAAAAATAGTCTGAACATTAAAATGGCTAAAACTCTCTCCAAACTTTGCCCAAGTCACTCTGCTGCAGTAATGTTACAATGTTGAAGATTAAAGCTTCAGAGTTCTTAAAGCTGTCAATAGCTTTTAGATTAAATGGACAAACTACTGCAGAATAACCTTTATAATTGTACATTGAAAGACTCCATAATACAATGAGTAGAGTTGCAGCCCCTGTGGCTATCATAGGTTTCATGATACACCAGTCTTGAGGGTAGGAATCCTACAAAGAAATCTAGAAAGTATAACTGGAAAAAGACGGTGCTACAACTACAGCAGGAAGTTGTTTAAGAACAAGTTCTCACATTACTGTTTAGAGGTATTCTAGTATTTTTAAAAATCTACCAACAAGGGTGCAGAAGATACAATTAAAAGTATAAGTTTCTGACTACACTACTGCTTTTACCAAAAATTGTAATTGTGTTCACACAGGGTTCACATGTATACATATGGTTAGCACATGGTTCCTAACATCATGGTAGGTGTGGACAGGCTAGAATCTAAGGCCAGAAGGGAAAATCATGATCCTCTAGTCCAGGGGTTCTCAAACTGGGGATTACGACCCCTCAGGGGGTCATGAGCTGTCAGCCTCCACCCCCAAACTCTGCTTTGCCTCCAGCATTTATAATAGTGTTTAATATAAAATGTGTTTTTAATTTATAGGGGGGGGTTGCACTCATAGGCTTGTTGTTTGAAAGGGGTCACCAATACAAAAGTTTGAGAACCACTGCTCTAGTCTGACCTCCTTCACATTGCAAGCCACAGAATCTTATCCACCCACTCCTGTAATAGACCCATAACCTCTGGCTGAGTTACTGAAGTCCTCAAATCCTGATTTAAAGACTTCAAGTTACAGAGAATCCACCATTTATACTAGTTTTAAATCAGCAAGTAACCCATGCCCCATGCTGCAGAGGAAGGTGAA